GTCGGGCTGGCGACGGCCGCCCGAAACCGGCCGAGGCGAGAGCTAGGAGGACGTGCGCCCCCGGGGGGGGGGCGTCCCGGGGCCGGGAGTGGCCCTGCAGCCACGTTCCCCGTTTGAGCGCCACCCCGCGGACTTTCCTGGCCCCGCCCGAGGGTGATGCGCGCCCCCTCTTCCAGCCAGGGGCGCTCGACCTAGACGCCTCACCTGGCGGGCGCCTGCCTGCCTGGGGCGCCCCCGGGCTTCCGCACGGCCAACCTGCAGCGCCGCAGGCCCCGCCTTTACGCGCCGCAGCGCCGGCACCCCGCGCCGGGAGCCCGACAGGGGCCGGTGCTGCTTCCAGGGTGCGAGGACCGAAGGGCGGCCGCGCGATCCCCCGCTGCGCGGATCGCGCTCTCCCCGTCCCCGCGACGCGTGCGGGGGCAGCGCGAGGCTGCGCGGAGGCTCCGCCCCGCCCGGACCACCCGCGGTACCGCCGCCAGCGGCCGGCTGGCTTCGACCTCCCGCGCGCACGTGCGGCACGGGAGGGCACGCAGGCCTGGGGGGAGCGCGGCGTGCATGCGCGGGATTCCGCGGACGCCCTCCCGGGCATCCCATCCCGGCTGCAAGCTAGAGACTCTGGATGCCTCAGAGGGGAACGCCGGGCAGCCCAGAGGGGCGTCTCGTGAGCTGGGTGGATCGTGGCCTCCTCGGCGCCGCGCGCAGCCTTGAGGCCTGGTCCGATTTCCTCCGCGCCCCACGGACCGATTAGGTGCCCACCGGCCATTCAGAACACACGTAACAGGCGAGCGCTGAGCGGGGGCTCCGTCCCGCAGCCACGAAACTCCGCCAGGACTTGGCTGGCCTCTACTCTCAGTCCAGCCTAGCTCACAGGGCCATTGTGAGGCGGACATGGCGCCTGCAGCCTGTCTTGAGTTCTTTACAGGAGGAAAAAAGATGATGATGAATGCAATAACATATTAACAGCAAGACATTATTGCATTTAAATCTAGCAAACTCTGTTGCAGATCTTGACGATTTTGCAACAGCCGCTGTTACATACTTGTTAACATCTGCCGGGAAATAGTCACATACCAACCAGAAGATCTTCCAGCTAATTTATTTAAAATGGGTATTCTACGTCACACTCCATCTCTGGAGAAAGGACAGAAGAGAAGCGGGCAGGCCAACACAGTCAGAGGTGACTTGCATAAAGAATTCCCTGGAAAATACCGTCCAGTTTGGCAGAAGACATTGAAGGATTCCACAGCCAAATTGGAAGAATCGCCTCTGACTGGACCTCACTGGTGGACAAGGAGTATTTCTAGGCGTTGAGTAAATACCTTCCTATCTTTCCTCACGAAGGTGAGCAGACCAGCAGCTCGGACTCCCCCTCCTTGATACTCTCTGGGGTGCAGCATTTTGGTAGAGATTTCACTCTGCCGTTCCCCAGTGGTTCGACACTGCTTCTCTCAATCTCTCCCAGCGTCTCTGTTGGCACAAACACAGCATTTCCTCGAAAAAGCTCACATGATGCAGAGACAGGCTGCTGGAGCGTCTGCTCACATCGCTTGACAACGTGCATACAGGAATGGCAGCATTGCTGTGCCGGGGCTGCATTCCCCCGTCCAACAGCGAGCGAACAGTTCAGCCCAAAGAGCAGGCCGAGAAACGGCACTCCTTCCCCGAGTCACATTCGCATTCCGTGCGGATGCCAAGCACACCCTTCAGCCCCGGCTTCCTCTCTGGTCTCACCCACCATGTGGTGGCCCATTGTTGTCTTCCCAAGGGATGAACGCACGTAGCAACGCCTAGCGGGGTGAGCCGGGTGATGGGGCAGGCACACGGAGGGAGGGCTTCAGGGGCATTGGCGGAAGGGGCCAGCGGGGGTCCGCCCACAGGGGCCTGCTTCCAGAGCAGGCGAAGCTAACACAAGAGCCTTGGATTTGGTGTTGCAAGTACTCCAAAACATCCATTTTCTCTATAGATTTGCACCCTCGACCCTCAGCATTCATTCCAAATATGGTGGAGGTTTTCAGCTTTTCATGTTTCCTTCATGCAGTTGTGCGTGGCTTGATAAAGTTCCATTTTAATAATTTGCCTCGTACTGACGGTCCAAACTCTATCTGGCGGGTCATTCATTTCTAGCAGTTACCAGCCTAATCCCCACTGCCGGGACACTCGGTCCCTTGCTCTTGCCAGTATTTATGGGATGCTGCCTGGAGGCAAGGAGGGGACGCTTGGCCACTGAGGGCTGCTGGCACTAAGACCACCCAAGCGAGAGGCTCTCGTCCATTCTGTGCCACTGCTTTTGTCTGGGATGCACTGACACGGAACTTACCTGTGACCCAGAAGCTTAATATCGAGAGAACGTCTCTACCTGCTCTGTGACTCCATTTCCCTCTTACTAACTTGCTTTGGACGACTGGTGGAGTTCAACACCGACAGGGAGCGCGTGCACCGAGGGAAGGGTGGAGACTCGGCGGCCAAGTGACTTACTAATCGGAACAAAAGTATGCCAGTGGGAGGAATAATTTAGCTATTAACTTTGCTAGTATAATGGAGCACCCACTTTTTAATGATAGGTCTTGTGCTGGGAAGGACATGCAAACACACCCAAATGCTTTGGAAATGTGTCGCGTGTTCTAGTGATCCGGAAAACTTCCTAATATTTCCAAAATAGCATCCGTCTTCCGCTAGAGCCTCCCACGACAACAGGTTCTCCCTCACAGAGCCTCTTCCTTGCCTTGTTTATCACCCTTCACTTTTTCAGCTGTCACTCCCACAGGTAGAGCTCCCTGAAAGAGCTCCGGATGCACACCTGAAAGACACGGCCAAGCCAAAGAGTTACCCAACCAGCACGCCACCATTTGAGCAAGCCCAAGGACCTCCGAGACCCAGAGATGCTGGAGGCTGCAGGTTTCCAGCGATGAAGCTGACCTTGCAAAAGAGGAAAAAATAGCTGAGAAGGGCCTTGACCTGCGCAGAAGGCGCAGGACCAGCCTCCCCACGCATCCATCTCCCACCCTGCAGTGATGAAGCCCCTCCACACAGTGGCCCACCCTCGTCCCCCCTTCCCCCAAGCGGCTCTTTCCCATCACTTTGCTTTGGCCTAAGCCCAGAGCACCCTGCAGGCTGCCTGCCAGTGATGTGGCCGGATCTACCCGGCTAACAGGCTGGCTGAGCGACCCAGGATTCTCAAATGGGTTCTTTTGTAGACGTTTGCATAGTAATGTGCCTCTTTGGGTTCCTATTTTGCATGTGTGAGAGAGAGAAACCACAGACTGCTCTGTTACGCTCGCCTCTGAACCAATCTTGTACCTCGCCTTGCATTTTGCTTTTCAGGAAGCAAGGCTGTGCGATTAGAGAGGGAACACCAGGGCCCTGCCAGGAAATGCCGGAGCAGGGAGGAACGTTCTGTCCAGGGTTCTGAGCAATGAAGCCCCCATTTCTCCTTCCTGCTCTCCTCGCAGTCGGGCAGATTCCACCCCAACTAGCAGGCACTGTCCTTCCTGACCCGCACGGACTGGTTCTGCCGTCTGGCTTGTGGGCTGAACAAGCCTGCGCCCAGTCCCTGCGCTCTCAAGATCATGGAATTCCACATGCCCCCCCGGCTGTGCGGGCCGAAGTGAGCAGCTTTATGCTACTGCATGGGGGCCGGGCCCAGCCGGGGGTTGCTGAGACAAAGCGTCCCGCAGCGGCTTTGCATGGAGCTGAGTGATGGAGCGAAGGAGCAGAGGAAAGGCTATCGGGGCCGAGAGGACCATCTGGCGCGAAGCCTCAGCCCGGGACCCACTCGCTGTAGGGCAGGGCTTCCAGAGCAGCTTTCCAGGAGGGGTGGAAAGGCGCAATGTTTGCCTTCCTCTGCCTGAATCATCTGGGAGAACGACCTGGCCTGATAAACAGGATGCTGGGCTGAAGGACAACCCGTTTGTTCAACCACAGTCATTCCGTTGTTCTTAGGAAAATAATTACCAGGGGACAGATACAGAGCAGGCCCGGCCCTGCCCACTGCGAGGCCGACGGCAGAGCCCCCACTGACATCTATGGTGCCTTTTTTGCTGCACAGGCCACGGCTGGGGGGATTTCCTAGCAATGAGTTCACTGCAGGGGGACAGGAAACACCTGGGCGGTGCTTGTTCCCAGGCCTTGCTGTTGCTGGCGGGAACAGCGGGCACTTCGGGAAGCCTGGCTGCCAAAGCATTTGCAAGCAGCGCAACACACGCCTCCCACTCACATGGGCTGCGCACGCCCCGTTTGCGATCAGAAGTTACGAGCCTGCCTGGCCGGGGGCTTCAGAGACCTCTCCCGCTGCTCGATGCAGAATGCCGGTGCTGGAAGCGAGGTGGGAGAGTGGCCGCCCATTATGAGCCCTGCCCAGGCCGCTTTCCGGGATAGGGATGGGCGGCCAGGGCAGAAACGCAGCACAGGGTCACTGACCCAGCCCAGGAGGCGTGAAGGCGAGGGCACACTGCTGCTCTGTCCCAGGACACCTCTTGGCGTGCCGTCCAAAACGGACTTCCATTCTCTGCCCGACGGGTTCCTGGAATCCTGATTCACACGTGAGCAGCGAGCGAGAGATTTCTGCGCTGTGCTCTGAGCCGGCCCGGGCTGCTCCCGCCTGGGCTTTTTCAGCAGGACCCGCATGAGCTTCCCATCCTGTCTACTTCGAGGGCTGAAGAACTGATTCTGCCGCCATCTGGTGGACAAAGGGCCAACTGCCGCTGTCGCATCTCCGGCTGGCAGCGGCAGTTTCCGGAGGAGCAGCTGCGTGCCCGCCGTAACCGTGTTCTTTCCCTTGGCCAGGTCGGGCCAGGTGTCCTCCGCTTGCAGGCTCCTGACTTGAAATGCCCCTTCGCCAGCCACTCGGGGCGGTGGCGGAGGTTCAAGCGCTCGCAAGCCCAGGCCCGTCAGGGGGCAAACGCCAACCCCCTCTCCCAAATCTGCTCAGGAAGGCTCCAGGGAAGCTCCCGAGCCTGCTTCTGGCCCATCCGAATAAAGCCTTGGGTGGCTGCCGACAAAACAGGAGCTCTGCCCCCTTTTTGCCCACGGTTTTGCTCAGCTCTGTGCAGGCTCCCTGTGGAGGAGAAGACGGCGCTCGCTCCCAAATGTTGCAAAGGCACCGGGGGGGAGGGGGGGCGTGGGACGGCCTGAAGAACCATGCAATGAAACACCCACACAGAGGGGTTTAGCCAATGCAGTTTATTCCAAAATGTCTTTTAAGTTTAGCACAACTGGAGGTAGCTGCAAAAATCACATGATCTTCCCACAAATGGCTTGAGCAGATCAGTTTATGGACACAATCCGCCAGGGTGTTTCTCCCACAGGAGCCCTTGCGCTAAGAAGGGCGGCATGTGGGACCCTCCCAGCAGATTCTGTCCTAGTTAAGGCAGGAGGAGGAGAGCTTGAAGTGAGTGTGAAGTGAAGTCTCTATGTTAGTTTCACAACAAAAATCAAATCACGCGAGATGGTTTCTTCGATTGTCAACACAACAGGCTTCCAGGTTCCCTTTCCCTCCTAAAATGCTATCACAGGAGAGTGTACTCTGCATCCCATCAGCCTTCTGGACAGGAAGAGAGAGCAGGTGGGAGCACCGACCGGAAAGCTTGCATTCCCAAAATGCAGGTTGTTCTGATTTGCCGCCATGAACACCTTTCCCTTGAGGCGGGGGAGTCTTGCTGCGGCGTCTATGCTCCCTGGCCACCGGCCACCGGGTGCTTTCCAGGAGGAAGCACCAGGCCGGCGCTGGAGGCGGAAAGACCGACGTGCCGCCTAGCCTCATGACACTTGCGCCGCTCTGCTGTGCTCCTTCACAGGCCGTGTTCACTTCAACGGGCAGAACTGCCCTGCAGGAGTGCCCGACCCCCCGCTACCAAGTCAGACTGCCCAGCTCAGGCTGACCTGCTCTGGCTGGCAGCGGCCTTTCCAGACATGCAGCACCCAGCTGGCCCACCCGGGTCATCTGCTTCTACTCAAGGGTGTGGCCTCTTTGGGGCACACAGGAATGGGCTTGTTCCACACATCACCAGACCGCAAGCTGCCACGCGTGGCACTGCCCACGCCCCCATTCCAAGCTAGTCACGCCCCAAACACCCACGGCCCAGCCTGGCCCAGCCCAGGTGTCCTTTCTCCTCCACCAGGCATAGCTCACCAGTCACGCGCCACAGGGAGCCCTGCTCCTTCAGAAGCACTGACCACAGGCCCATCGGCTGGCAACCTTGCAGAAACGTGTCTGCGCCTTGTTCCTGCCAGGACCTTGCTGCTCTGAACGGCTGTTTCTGAAAATCCGCACTCTGCCCTGGGGCCACGCGCCCAGGCAGCGGCAACCCAATCTTGGCAGCTTGAAGCCTGGCAGCCCAGGGCAGACCCGCTTCTCAAGCAGCCCCAGCCACCGCACCCCGTGTGCAGCTCATTCCCGCGCTCGTGCGCAGCTCGCAGGAGGCCCCTTCCGTAAAGCAGAGAAGCTGCAAGGATGGTCGTGAGGCCAAGAAAGGGGACGGAGGACGGGGAATGGATTGCAGCGGCCTGCAAGCACAGCCCCAAAAGCACACGGAAGCCCCTCTGGAGGAGGTCTGCAGGCACCTGCGGACAAAACTCCAAGGGCACAGAGGGAAACACCTTTCCCTGCAAGCGCATCACAGATGTCCCTTGCGGGCCCCGCCGTGGGGGATCCCCGAAATGCACGGCAGGAAGCGTGATGCGGCTGAACACCCCTCCGGCCGCGCCGCTTGGGCCCCAGGGGTGTGGTGGGCTCCAGCGGGGAGTGCCCCTGCTCTCCTTGAGCTCGGGGGCTTCTCACAGCAAGGCCCTTGCGCCAGTCCCGGGGCAGGGCGCTTGGCTGGGTCACAGCAACACTCGGGCCACACGCTCACAGCAGAGGTGCAGCTCCCCACAACTCAACAGGCAGAAGGCCGGAGAGGGTCCAGACCCCCACCCTGGGGTGCTGCTGGTCCCGCCCTCCCGCCGGCCACAAAAGCCCCCTGAGCCGAGGCCGCTGGGTGGGGGGCTTGCAGCACGTGGGTCGCCTGGCCCTTTCCAACCCCTCACTTGCCCCGATCTCACAGGGACCACCCAGAGCCTTCACGGCACACACAGAACGCCATGTGCTTGAAACGGCACGATTACCGAGAATGATTGCTGCCCATCCCGTGCTCTATAAAAACCAGGGCGTGTTACAAAAACGGTGAAAACTGGTCCGAGAAATACCTGATTGGAAACACACGCATCCTTCACCACGCAGCCCTTCCTCTAGGGACTTCTATCCAAAGACCCCTGCGGCGCCCTCCCTCTCCCAGGGGCAGCATCCGGGGCAGGTCCGCGCCGGCGGGGAGCCGAGTCCTCGGCTCCGGCAGAGCCTTCCTCTCGCGGGGAGTGGCGGCAGAACGAGGGGGCAGCAGCCCTGCGGCAGCGGTCTGGGGGGAGGCCCACTTTGCGTCAGAGCGTTTATTTCGGGACTATCTAGGCCTGCAAACAGCGTGTTCTGGAGGGTATATACACTTTGCCCAGCACGGAGGTGCCTACAGCCCCGGCCCTGGGGACCTGCTGGTCCGTGCTTTCGGCCGTCGTGTCTGCATGTTCGCAGCGGGCTTCCTTTAGCTCTTGGTGTCGCTGTCCCTCAAGAACTTAAACCCCGACGGGGCTTCGTAAAGGCTCTCCCCATCAGTGCTGAAATCGTCGTCGTCGTCGTCGAGGTCGCTCAGCAGCTTGCTGGAGGTCTTCTTGCGCCTGTGGAAGCAAAGGCAGGTCAGCGCTTCCTGCCGTATGAAAGGTCCCCAAAGCCTGGGGGGGGGCCCTTTTACAGGAGGCTCTGGAGACACCAGATGATCCGAGGGGGAGCCCCTCCCAGGCCGACAAGGCTGCAACCAGCCCGTTGGGCCCATGAAGGGACCACCAGAGTCTCCCGGGGCGCCGGAACGCAGGCTGCCGAGGGCCTCCATGCAGCTGCAGGAGGCAGCGCCGTTGGGGAGCCCAGCTATGGGCTCTGATCTCTGGACGGCGGACCCTTTGCCGGCGCCCACGCTCCCATTCCTGGAATCGGGAGGGAGGCCTCAGCCGGGACACCCTGAGGGACCCGCTGCAGTGGTGTGGGGTCCGGGAATGGAAGTGGCCCAGCAGGAAGGACCACATCTGCTGCACTGCAGGGGAAGGGGAGCCGGCCCCCACCCACGGGCAAGCAGCCGCAGAGGGGAGGGGCGTCCATGGCGCGCGCTCTTGGGGTCAGGCCGCGAGGGCCGTGGAGGCGCCCGTCCCACCTGAGTTCCTGCCGGATGGCGCTCAGCTGCCCTTGCAGCTGCTCATTCAAGTCCACTTGGTCTTCCAGCTCCCGCTGGAGCTTCTTCTTGTCGCTCTCGAGTCGGTCTATTTCCTCTTCGGCCTCCTCCACCTGCCGCTTCGTCGCCTTCAGGCGCAAACTCAGCTGGGAAGAGGGAGAGGGGCCATGAGGGCCGGCCTGGCTGCAGCTCCTGGGCCACCTGCAACGGAGGCCGCGCGGGGACGTCTCTGCCTCCGCCGAGCAGCAACCAGGCGAGCGGAGAGGCGGCAGCCGGGGGAAGAAGGATCTGCTCAGCCCCTTCCGCAAGAAGCCGCCCCATATGCGAGCGGGAAAGGGTGGGCTTGGCCTTTGTTCCGCCAAGCACATGACAGGGAAAAAGGTGCGTGGCCCTGCACGCCACGCCGTGCCCCGTCCTGCTCCAGCGGGGGCCCAGCGAGCGGCAGACGGGGCAGCCACCATTGGAGAGGCCACGGAGGCAGCTGTGCCAGAAGGCAGCGGCTCGGGGGCTTCCGAGCCTCCCCCTCAGAAAGGCGAAGGGCCGCTGTGGGAGGGGAGGGCGATGCAGCCCCGATCGGCTCGACGCTCCGGTGAAGCCCGCGCGGGCGAGCGGCCAGCCAGGAGCACCGCGGCGGCCTTACCTGGTCCTTCTGGTCCGTCAGGGAGAGATGCTCGTCATCCACCTGCATCAGGAGCTCCTTCGCCCTCCTTTCCAGACGGCGGTTGGTCAACTGCAGGTTGGCCCGCTCCCTGGGACACGTGGGGATGACCAGCGTGAGGCTGGGGCATCCTTCTTCGGCCAGGCCAGCCCAGGCCAAGGGCCCCCTTGTTGGCCGCCTGCCCTTCGCGGCAGCCACCCCACTGCCCCCAACACCTGCACCTGCAGGTCGGGGCTTCCAAGCCTGGAAATGCTACCCATCCAGCCCTGCGTTCAGCAGGGCCCCAAGGTGGCATCACCTTTGCTGGTCCGGCTTTACTGTGATTTCTGTGTGTTTCCAACATTGTGTGCTGTTCCAGCCCCCTCGCAAAAGGGAAGGGCATGCCCATTTCTTGAGAAGGGGCACATCTCAGACTAGTGAAGGGTCCAGTTCCCTGTGCCCAGCACCGCAGCCCTGAAAGCAGCAGGACTCCCTGTCCCAGGTTCCCCAGGCCTGCCGCCAGCCTGCTCACCTCTCCTCAGCCTCCAGCCGCTCCTCCAGCTCCAGGATCCTAGCTTCCATCTGAGTGAGGAGCCCATCCTTGCTGGACCGGTACGACCCCTCCAGGTGGAGAATCCGGCTTTTCAGGTCCTTGTTCTGGAGTAAGAGCACACGGGGTCATTCGGTGGATGGGTCCGTGCACCGGCCCCCAGACCTGCCGCCGTCCAGGCCAGAAGTGCAAGGGAAACTCAGCAGAGACCAGTGCAAGGCTGTCCATTTGGGCTGAGCAAATCCGATGTGCAGAGACAGAATAAGGGACATGGGCCAGTGCAGTGCTGCACTCGGGACTGTGACTGATCCAGATGGAATGTGAGAGAGCAGTGTGAGGCGACTGCAGAAAAGGCAAATGCGATTCCGGACAGGATTCACAGTGCCACCACTCGCAAGCCACAGGATGCCATTGCTCCACTTCCTTTTGGGCTTGTCCGAATGCCTCTTGTGCGGGGATAAATGGGAGCTCCTGGGCTGGTCATGGCCTGAGCCGCCTGGACGGGGCCCTGAAACGCAACCCAGCTGCCGTTCCACGCGGGGCAGCAGCTGGGTCATTTCCCCATCTCCACCTTGCTGCTGCAATCCAGCCCGGGATCACAGCACCGCACTTTGAGATGAAGCAAACACCCAGTGCAGGCAGGCAGGGAAAACGCCCAGCTCCGTTCGACGGCAAAAGGGCATGTCCCCCACAAGGGGGCGCTCTGCTCCTTGCATTGCGCTGGGCTAGCCGGAGGAGGGAGAGCCATCCCCACGGCCGCCCTGGGGGAAGTCTCTGCGCCTTCGTGCCAGGCAGGCTCAGGGCACTTTCCCCTCCCTGGATCAGTGGGGGCAAAGGGGCAGCCGCAGCGCAACCCCACCTGTCTTTCCAGCGAGATCTTGTCGCACTCCAGCTCCTGCCTGGCAGCCCTTTCCTGAAGCAGCTCGCTCCTCACTTGCTCCATCTGGAATTGCGGTGGGAGAACAAAGGCCCGGATTACGACACGGGCAGGAAACCTGAACCGAGCTGGAAAGAGTCAGGGCGGTGACTTTCACTGGCGGTGGCTGCCTGTAGTCAGGCAGGTGGCCTTGTCCCAGTTTGCTGCTTCTGGCCTGTGCTTCCAAGTTTGGGGTTCGTGCGGTTTCCATTATTGTAGGAAGTGGCCTGGAAGGTTTGGCCCAGAGGGCCAAAGCCCCCCAGAAAAGAATACTTTAAAGAGCACGGGGGGGGGGGGGCTAAGAGATCGCAGCCAGGGGGGCCTCTCACAGCCCTGGACTGGCGTGCCGCACTGGGGATCTGGCAAGGGAGGCCTGGGCAGCAGCCGGCCCCGAAGCCCGCTGGAGGGCACTGCGGGGGGCTGCAATGACCCTGCAGGACGCGCTGGGCCAGCCAATTTGGCGAGCACGGAGGACAGAGTGACCATGCGCGCCAGGCACAAGCAGCACCTCGTGGGCTCTGACACCACAGTCGGTACCTGCGTCTTGGAAAAGCCACCTGCTTCCGCCCTTCCCCAAGGCCTGGGCGTTGGGGCACACCGAAGATGCTCCCTGAATGGCTTCTGGAGGTCCATACAGAGGAATGTTCTGACCGGCAAGAGCACTACTAAGCAAGCCATTCAAGGGGCCACTTCTTGCAGGCAGAAGCTGGCGGGATGCCCCGGCCACCTGCAGCAGCTCCTCCAGGCATCCCCCTCCTCCTCCTGCGCCTGTGCCCCAGGCCCAGCCCCAGGCCCAGCTCCGACGCCAGGAGCACCAGGAGACGAACCCAGGAAACCCAGTGGCCCCCAGCTTCCCCCAGGGCCCCGCAAGCCTGAACTGCAGCTCGCTCACTCCTTGGCCTCTGCTTGACCCAAGTTGTCAGAGGCGCAGGGGCGGGGGCGCTGTTCACCGCAGCCTGGGCCTCCCCTGTTTACCAAAACAAACCCATTATTCTTCCTGGCCTTATTATGAATGCTTCGCAGACCCTGAAATGGCCTCTCGGGAATCCGTCCATCCCTTGGACATCCCAACATGGACTCAGAACAAGGCAACCTTTGTGACTCATGCATGAAATCCAGGCCTGTGCTCTAAACACCTTTTCTGTCCCGGCCCAACCCGTCCTTTATATAATGCCGCGAGGGGCGCATCACCTCCACCCTTTCTCGTTCCACCTACCGCAGGGCCGCTAAGGCAGTGGGGGGGGGCTCCGTTGGAGACCTCCGGCCTCCAGGGACCCCTGAGTTGGACGTGGTCCCGGGGGCTTTGGAGCGCTTTGCGTCCCAAACCACTGCAGAGGCCAGCGAGGGGCTGAGAGCGAGCCCTGGACTCTGCAGTTCTGCAGGCCAGGATGCGGGGAAGCTGGCCGGAGCCTCCGACGAGGGGCGGGCTCGTCCCCACTGCTGGGCGCAGCATCCGCTTGCAGCCCAATGCCACTGGAGCGGCTCACAGGCAATGGGGCGGCGGCAGGAGCGCCCAAGTACCTGTTCGCGGCACCTGCCGATCCTCTCCGACAAGACATCCGAATTGTTCCGTTCCTCTTCGAGCTCCGTCTCCAGCTGGGAGATCTTCTCCTGCAGGGACGGGGCAAGCCAGACTCAGAGCAGAGCCGCTGAAGGGCTCGGTGCCCCGTGGAAGGGGGTCACGGACGTGCCCACGTGCACCGGTGGGCACTGAGTGGCGTGAAGGGGGGCAGGCTCCAGGCCACAACGGCCAGGGCACATGCAGGCCATGCAGTCATGCAGACATGGGTCCAGTCTAAGCCAGGCTGGTTTCATTTGGCCTCAATGCAAAGGTCTTGCGTTTAAAGGGGCCAGAAGTGGGGACCAGCGTCAGAGAAGCTGCTCTTATCCCTCCGTGCTCCCCGCACAAGGCCTCATCGGGGGACGAGAGGCCTTCTTGGTGGCAGCCCCCTCTGGATGGATCCCCTTTGCAGATGATCGTGGCCATCCCAGCGTGACTGCAAACCGCTCGCTTGCTCGCCTGGCTTTTCCAAATCTGGCTAAACGTTCCTCCTTTACCACGATCTTGTTACAGTGATTAGCTGCAAGCCGCTTCAGGACTCGGCAAATATTCCGGCCCGGACAGAGACAAGGGCCTTGTCACAGTCGCCCTTCTGTCAGTCATCCCATTTCTGCAGGCAGAGCCCCCCCCCCAGCAACCCCCCCGCTACCTCCATTATCTTTGCTTGTCTGGCCCGATCTTCCTTCAAGTGGTTCTTGGCTTCCAGCTCGTACTCCAGGGCTTTCACGGTCTGCTCCAGGAGCTGCGTCCTGGTCAGAGACTCCTCTTGGGCTCTCTGGTGGTCCCGCGACTGTTCCCCCATAAAACGGACCTGAAGCGAACGGAAAGGTGGCCCGTGAGGCCCCTCCACCAGGAGCCGACAGCCACTGCGCTCCAGGAGCACCGGCCCAGCTGCAGTCAGGCGAGGGGACACGATGCTGGTCCCTCACCGGTGGGGTGAGCGGATCAGAGGCAGGCACTGGGGAAGTGGTATCCTGCGGCTACAAGCGGGGGAGGGGGCAGGGGGAGAACAGACCGAATCCTTCAGGAAGGATGCAGGCAACCCTGGTGCAGAGCAGGGCAGGCCTGTGAGGCAGGAGCCGAGCTGCATCGGCCTGTCACACGGGACGACCACGGCCTGGAACGCACGGCTCTTGGGGGGAGTGCGGTGCTCGGCCAAAGTATTTCAGGGGAATGAATTAAGCACCTCACCAGGAAACCTTCTCTGGAGGCAGCATTTTCCAGGTGGATCGATTTCCATCGTCCTGCTCCAAGAGGAATCCCAGAACAGTGAGAAAATTGCCACCCTTCACCCAATCTTCCACGCAGAATTCCTCTTGCAACTGCTTAGAACGTGGGTGCAGGGCACCAGTGCCGATGCCCTTGAGTATTTTCCCCCTGACCACCAGATGGCAGCACCCACTGGCTGCTGCGGGGAGGTGGGGGGCAGGCCAGAGGGATTCCGGAGTGTTACACGCCATGAGCACGGACAGGGAGCCACCCACGTCTGTTTGCACAATCGCAGCACAAAGACCTCCGAAATGCTCTGGGCATGGAATGGAGGGACCACAGCCTCTGCCCTGCCGGGTTCTGCATGCAATGATGGCTTTGCTGAAGGTCGCCTTCATTCACACCTGGAATGCACTGAGGACCAACTTGCAAAGCGGCCGTCTGCAGCCTTCCACTCGCAGCTGGTACATCGGAGAGCTGCAGCACTCTTCTCGTACCCCAGTGCGGCCCAAGCATGAGCGACCCAGGCGGGTGGGCAGGGAGGGCTTTGGCAGGCCAGAGCTCAGCCGGCCTGCAGCTCCCTCTGGGCTCTCCACGCACACCGGGCTCGGCCGGGGCTCGGAGGGGCGCCCCACGGGGTGCCTCCCTCGGCTGCCTCTGGCAGGTGTGCCTGTGGCGGATATAATGTGGATACTTCTGGGACTCTGCGGTTTGCCTTTGGCCTGGCCCCCGCTGCAGTGCGGTGCCCAAGAGAGTCTCCAATTTTAGATCTGGCCCTTGGCCTGAAAGAGGTTTGACCTCCGTGTTCCAGGTGAGAAGCTGCCAGGGCCAGCTAGGCCAAAGCCCTTACCTCCTCCTGCAGTTTGATGGCCGTCAGGCACGCCTTTTCTAACTCCAGGTTTTTGTCCTTCAGCTGCCTCTGCGTCTCAGCAAGTTCCCGGCGATTCTTCTCCTTGTATTCATCAAGCTGGTTCTGGAGCTCCAAGGTGGATGCCCGGGAGACCTCGACAATTTCTGCCATCTAGTGAGAAGGAAAGTGGGCACGGGAGGAGAACCAGAACCCATGACTGGGCCGGGCTCTCTCTCCCACCCGTTGTGCCACAAAGTCTTTCGTGAGGTGAATGACCTCAGCGGCGACTAAACCACAGGGCTTGGGCCGAGTCTCCTTCAGCCCGCTGGGGGAAAGCGGCCAGGAAGGCACTCTGGCCAGGGTGTTGCTTGGGGTGGACTGTGGGCAAGGAAAGGGCAGCTCCGATGCCACGCTCCTGGGGCAGCCCTTTGGCTCTCTGCAAGCGGCCCCGACCAGGAACAGCCACTGGCATTTTGCCCTTAAGTCTTGCTGGAGGCCAACTGGATGGCCCTCTGGTGCGAGAGGCACCTCAGGTCCTGGGCAAGGGGGCCACAGCCTCTGTGGGGAGAAATCCCCTGGCACAGCACCTCCCCCGGGGCCGAGGCTCCCCACCCCAGCCCCAGTGCTGGCCCCGAAAGCAGCCGCTGATGTGATCCTGCCCAGCTCATAACCCCTAAAGCGAGGCTGTTTCACTTCCTCTGCACGCCTTTCCCACCCTCTCCGGCCCTGTGTCTCGGCCGGCTGTTTCTTGGCTTCCCTCCCCGCCCGCCATCGGCTCTGGGGCAGCCCTACCTCCGCGTGCAGTTTCTCGATAGTCTTGTCCAGCTGCCGCCGCTCGGCCTCCAGCTCGCTCTTCACCCTCCTCAGCTGGTCCGTCTGGCTCACCTCGTCCCTCAGCCGGTCCGCCAGCTGCTGCTGCTCCTGGCCCAGCTGCTGGAGGTCCTTCTGCAGCCGTGGAAAGGGGCCCTCTGTGAAACGTGCAGCGAAGCCCCGAGCGCTTCGGCTCCCGGGCAGGACAGAAGCGCAACAAACGCGTGCAGAAGACAGGATGGAAGGCAGTGTGCGCAGCCAGCAGGGGTGCAGCCCTGAGCCGGGGTGACGTGGCAGGCAGATGGGGTGCGTGGGCCGGGGACTCAGGAATCCCCATCTGGTGGTGAAACTCCGAGTGACTTTGCCCCCTGCTGGCTTTCAGCCCAGCCTACCTTGCAGGGCTGTTGTGGGGATAAAATGGAGGAGAGGAGGAGGAGGAGGAGGGCGGCCACATAAGCCGTCTCAGGTTTCTTGCAGGAGAAAGCAGGGCGTGAGCAGAAGCAGCGGGGCCCAGGGACACCCCCACTCCACTTTGCGGAATGCCTGGAGAACGTGGCACGGTCGCGGTTGCCACCCGGCGGCAAAAGCCTGCAGACCCTGCCGGACAGGACGGCCACGCTCAGAACCAAGCCAGGCAAGCCCTTCGCTGCCTCACCTGGGCAGCCTCCAGCCGGGCCTCCAGCGTGGCCTTGGCGTGCGCCAGCTCCTCCGTGGCTGCTTCCGCCTGCGCCAGGGCCTCCGCCACACGCTGCTGCTCCTTCTGCCGCAGGAAACGGGTGCGTTGGAAGAGCGAAGATCCCGGACCCCTCTTCTCCCCTGCTGCTGCGGGGCCCCTGGACTGCGAGGCTTTGGCCCCCACGGTCCCGGGGCAGTCGGCTTGGGGCAGCCCGCCAGCCCGTGAGGCCATCGCCTCCTCTGGGGAGGGGCAGCGCACCGGAGCCCACCTGGTGGAAGAGCATCCGTTCCTCCATGCTGTCTCTGTCTCGCCTCAAGCCCTCCAGCTCCCAGCTGAGCGCTTCCTGCTGGCCCTCCAGCTCGCGCAGGGCTTTCTCCAGCTGCTGGGCCCGCTCCGCTGCCTCTCTTGCACGCTCTTCTGCACCGCTGTGCAGCTGCTCGGCCTCGGCCTGGGCGCGGGACAGGGCGGCCACCTCCTGGGGACACGACATTCACTTCGCGCGTCCACCAGATGCTGGCTCAAGGGGGGATCCGCCAGCTGGATGGCCCCTCGTCTCCTAACACCCTGTAGACGTGGATCGGTGTGCCCTCTGTGCCCCTTTCGGCTCCTCCAGGGCGTACCTGGAGGGCTCTGCTGGGAAGGCAGCCAGAGGGCATTCCGGGAAGGAGTCCTGCTTAGAAGCGAGCTCGGAATTCTTCTCTCCCCCAGCCCAAAATAGGTTGGAATCACGAGGTCGCAGAGGGTTTGGGTGAGGCAGGGCAAGGGGTACGAGCAAGAGCCGCCCAGGCCTGCGTGCCTGGTACTCGATCACCAAACACCTGGGGGCCTTGGCAGGCGTACGGGGGGGGGGTGCTGCACTCGGAGGAGCTGCCCCCTCAGGGGTGCCCTCCCCACATGCATCCAGAGCAGGCCCCCTCCAGTCTACCTCAGCGAAGGACCCTCTGCCTCCGGACCGGCTCCTCCTCCTTCCAACAAAGGACATCACCCTCTGGCATGGGGGCAGAGCGCTTGGAGGTGCAAACCCCCCCCCCCGTTTAAGGTGGAAGTACTGGGAATTTGTAGCACTATTCCAATGATCACCCCCTCCCCAGTTTTCTGCTTAATGGGAGACTCGAGCAGCCCCTTAAAGGGCCGCAGTGAACTCCACAATCCCTGACTGGACGGGTCGCGTCCCTTCAAAGCCCGGCGCCTGGGGGTGTGGCTGCTGGGGGGGAGTGGCGCCTGTCCCCAGGCCCTGCCAGGCCCGTGCACGTGGTCGCCCTCTCCGTGCAAAGGACGTGGTGGTGCTGCCGCCACTCCCGGAGGCAGCGAAGGTGCCCCGGCTGCCTGGCTGGCTCTCCCGCCTTCTGTCGAGCCCAGCCCCCGGCTGCACCCACCCCGGACTCGGCACCGGCCAGCCTTGCTCAGGGCGCGTGTGCCCCTCCTCGGGCACCTCGCCGAGCCCCCCGCCCACCGCCGCAGCTCGGGACCGGGCGAGGGAGGGCGCGTGTGCCGGCGCTCCCAAGGGTTAAAGTGGGCGCCCTCCTCTCAGAGCAGGAGCTGCGGAACCGGCCCGGTGAGATTCTTGCAGACCAAGGTCTGCGCTGCTCACTTGCTCGCTGCTCCTTAGCCGCGGAGGGAGGGTGCCGTTTGGCGAACCCAGAAAGCCCCCAGAAGGAGCCTCCGACGCCGGCCTGCTGGCCCTTCTGTCTGAACCGCCGGCTGCTCGGGGGACTTCCCTGCGGCACGTGAGCGGAGAAGGAGCGGCCTGCGGAAGGGGCCAGGTGGGCTGGAGCGCTCCCCACACGGTGTGGGCGGCTGCACAGGTGCTGTGTGAGGGACGGGGCACGGGGCCAGGGCAAGCTGCGTGGCCTTGGCCTCGTCCCCGAAGGAGCTCCGACCGGGATTGCCGCGGGTTCTTCCTCGCAGTCTCCCAAGGCAGGAGCTGAGGAGAGCTCTTCCCAGCACTGCAATGCCCGGGACGCTGTGGCTGGCCCGCCACAGGGGCTAAGCTCGGGAAGGCCCGATCCAGGGCCGGCTTGGGCCACACAGACTTCCCACGAGGAAGTTCTAAAATCCTGGGAGACACAGGATACGTGCCTCGTTGGGTGTGGATTCGGGCGCCCTGGCCTCTATCCCCTTTTCCCTGCCAAACTCCCCTCGCAAGGTGCAGGCCAGCCTGGGCAGCAGGCCGTGGGGGAGCCTGGTCCGGGGCAGGCCTCCGGCAAGGGGCGTACGTGGGAACCGGCGGGGCCATGCCTCGCGGGCAGAAATATCCAGGTCTAGCCCGGTTCCTGTCGCTGGTTTTAAAGCCTTCCTTCTTCTGGGCCAGCAGTAACCCTTGGCCTGCGGCGCAACTTTGAGAAGCATTTGTGTGCGATCAACGGAGGACTGTTGCATTTCAGGGAGTTGGCCAAGTGTGAAGTGCCCGTGCGAAGCACGCCCCATTCCCCCTCAGCTCAGCTCTGCACCGCCACCGCCACCACACGCCGGGCTTCGCGGGAAGAGCACTCAGGGCTCACGCAGCATGGAGACTGAAGTGACCCCGGTCGTGCCACCCGCAGGAAGCCCTCCGGCAGGCCCCACAGCTTTCAAGGAATGCGCTCCTTCCCCACAGAACCCGCCCCCTTGAAGAGGGCACGTGTCCTGGCCCGGGAAGGACACAGTGCTCAGCTGTGGGGAGACTGGGCCGAGATCGGCGCTGCCCACAGCTCAGCAGGCAAGCCCAGGAATCCCGCGCTGTGGCACTGGCAGAGGGCTCCCACAGCTTGGGCCGACCACGCCTTCCAGCAGCCCGGGCTGCACCAAAGCAGGCCTCCCGGAGCCGCACAGAGTTTGGCGGGGAGCAGCCCGTGTGGGGAAGGATTAACTGAGCCATGGGGGCTGTTTCAAAGCCACGTTATCTGCTTAGAGGGACAGTGACTGGGTTGCGCCTCCCGCTCGGCCGTCCAGCAGGGCCAAGGTCACACGGAGTGGGTGGAACATTAACTCAGGACGCCCTCCTTCTCTGAGGCCTCAGGCTGTGGACTCAGCGGGCTGGGGCTGTGGAGGAACCGAGCCTGCCGGGAGAGGGAAGGGGCTGGCCGGGGCACGTGGACCCAGCATCCCTCCCCGACGTGTGCGGCTTCCGCGGAGGGGCCCGCTTTCATTTGCCGCAGCGGCTCCTCCCAGAAACTCAGACTGTTAACAGGGAGTGTCCAGGAAGGGCGAAGACTGTGGGGCGAAGACTGTGATGACGGAGCCGGAGAGAGGTTCCTTCCCAGCAGACGGGCTTCCCCCCACTCCCATGAGCCCCTGCAATTCAGGGGGGCTGCCCCAGGCAAGACCACGCCATGGGCAGCGCAGTGGAGACCAAGACACAGGGGGAGCGGGTTGGGGTTCGGATGGATGAAGGGATGTCTCCCCCCACATCCACCCACCCCGACACGAAGACCCTCACCTGGAGCCCACTCCCAGGTGCCCCAGCAAGACAGGAAAGCCGGGTAGCTACGAAGGAGAGGGCCTTGCCAGGGGTGGCCCCGTCTGGAGTGCAGCTGCCAGTCTCCATTGGCGCCGTCGCTGCCTGGCCACACGGGCTGCCCCAGGCCCCTCCACAGCACGGTGCAGGGCAGGGGGGCGTCCTGCTCCCATGCAGCTCCCGGCGAGCCCCAGCCGGCTCTGCTTTCGTGGGGCTTCAGCGTGGCAGGACCAAAAGAGGAACCGGGGAATGGGCAGCCAGGAGGGCTCCCAAGATCTGCTGCTTCACCCCGGGGCAGGGGGGGCGACTGCCGCCTGGTCCCTCCCCTGAATTCCCCCCCCCCCCCGGTTCCCTGCCAGCAGCAACCCGGCTCCATGCACCACCCACTGACCTTGGTGGCTTCCTCCAAAGCACCCCGGAGGACACGGAGCTCCTGGCCGTGCTGCTCCTTGAGCCGGTCCATCTCCTGGTCGTGGCTGGACACGTCAGCCTTGAGGGCGCCCTTCAGGGCCGTCAGCTCCCGCTCTCGCTTGCGGTGCACCTCTTCCTGCTGCTCCCTGGCCGCCAGGAGCGCCTGGAGGTCGCCCTGCAGCCGCGCCAGCTCCTGGGCCGTACGGGAGAGGGGCGCGAAGGGGGCGTCAGCCATGTCGGATGGGGGCACACACCGTGGCCCCCAGGGCATTGGGGACACTCGGCCAAGACCGGCCTCCGGGGGCAGAGGGTGCAGGACAGGACGAAGGGCCTGGCTTCCTAACTTTCCAAAAGGCTCAAACACACGAACCTTCTGCATTTTTACCCTGAACCTTCGCCCCTCCCAACCTCATTCCCTAAGGCCCCCCTTGCAGGCGCTTTCTTGCAAAGCAGGGCGCAACACAGGTCAGCAATGCAGAAGGCCTTCTTGGGGAGGGCCCCAATGGCGGAATGATCCCCCGGAGGCGGCTCACCTGCCACCTGCACGGTTCCCTTGTCAGTGCCAGTTAAGGCCTCCTCCTCTCAGGCCTGTGCTGGCACGTGAGGCTTCAGGCAGGTCTTGATATTTCCTTCCTGATCATTCCAGCCATTTCCAGAGAACACACATGACTCTCTGCCATATCTGCATTTTAGGGTGCCCTTGGCACACACCCATCATCTCAAAGGGGGCTCCCGGAGAACGGCCCCTCCAAGAGGGGCTGGGCTGGACATGAGCACTGAAAAGCCGAGGGAGCCACGGTGGTGCGAGAAACAGGGAGTGTTCAGATAGGCGCTTCTCACCCCCATGAAAACCAGGCCTGCCCTCTCTGGCCCGTGCCTGGGCAGGTGGGCAGGCGGGCGCTCTACGTGCCCCCAGCCCACGGCCGTCCCGCGCTCACCTCGAGCAGCAGCTCCCGCCCGCGTTGCTCCACGTGCTTCGCGCCGTCCAGCTCGTCGTGCATCTCCGAGAGCTGGCCCTGCAGGTCCCGGACCTCCGCCTGCTGCTGTTCCCTCTCCATCTTCACTTGGAAGAGCCTCGAGGGAAGAGGACGGGGTCCCTGTGCCATCGCTGGCTCCACCAGGGGAAGCCGGGACAGGACAGAGCGGTCTGCCCCTCCCAGCCGGCCCCTCCACCCTGAGGCCCCGTGCCACGCTCCAAGCTGGTCCTCCAGCCGCCCCACTGGCGTGGCCTCTTGGAAGCGGAGGGCTTCCTGCTGAGCCGCTCACCCCGCCTGGGTGGCTTCTTCCAGGCACAATCAGAGCACTGGCGTGTCCCACCAGCCCCCTCTTCCTCCTGGCCAGGCCCCGGGAAGCCCCCTTCTCCCATGCGAGCCACCCAGGCCGGCAGGTCTCCATGGAGGCCTTGCGTTCGCTTGCGCGCTCCCTCCAACCCCTGGGGGGCGCTCGAGGGTAATGTCAGGGAGGGCCAGGCCCGCAGGGTGGACGCCGAAGGGGAAGCCCACACAGCCCACCTCTCTGCGCCAAACTCACTCCTCCAGGTGGTGCCGCAGCTCCTTCTCGCTCTCCTCCAGCTGCCTCTGGAGGGCATCTCGCTCCTCCAGGCCGGCCTCTAGCTGCTGCCGCAGCCCCTGCAGCTCCGTTCTGGCTGCATCCCGTTCCTCTCGGAGGTTGCGCTGATTCTAAACAGCAGACATCGGCACTTCTGGGAAAGGGGCAAGAGGTGGCGGGGACGGGGCCCAAGGCTGCCTGGTCCTTCTTGCAACAAAGCGAGCGGACGTGCAGCAAGGCCCGGGACGGGCACTGCAACCCCATGCAGGCGGGACGAGAAGCCTGGCGCAGGCTGGATGCTCTGGCTGCCAGCCCCCCTGCTGCGCCACTGCAGTGCTGGCCGAGGCGACCAGAGCCACCCTCCCGCCGTGGAAGGGCTCGAACCTCCCCACCTGAATGACTGTGCTCCCCCGAGAAGCACGTCCCCGGGGCTTCATGTGGGGTTGGGGGTTCCTACCCTGCCCTCCAACGCCAGCCTCCTCTGCAGCTCCGAAACTTCCTTCTCCAGCTCCTTCTTCTGCTCCACCAGGGCTTTGAGTTCTGCAGACAGTTCAGAAGCCTGCCGCGAAAGGGCACCGGCTCAGTCGGAACAGCGTCGCATGCCCTTTTCGGAGGTGAGCCAAGAAAGGGGGCCACGAGGGGTGTGCGCGACTGTGGAGAGGGGTGTGCGGGAAGGGGGCCCTTCCGCAGAAGGGCACATCACTGCACGGTGAGAGGCAGAGTGGAGGGCTCGGATGCGCGCGGCCACCGGGGCCCTGTGCCCAGGATGAGGCTGACTGCTGCACAGAGACTCACTCTGGGCCCTTCACTCCAGGGCCTGGGAGCTGCCATTCAAATTTCCCAGAAAGCCCGAGGTGGCATCACACCAGGGCATTGTGGGACAGGTGTGTGAACCATCCCCACCACAAAGCATCCCTGCCGCAAAGCATCCCCTGATCCGCCTGGGAGGCCACACTGCTCCCCGCAGGGATGTTACCTGCGTGCTCCCAGCTGCTCTGGACTTCAGAGTCTGGATTTTCTCAAAGACTAGGTTGACTTTCCTCTTCGTTGCATCATCTGTTTCACTGCTTCTGAAGCATGAATAAATGTCAGCCAGCAAATCCAGGACATGGGACCCCTTGAGGTCACCCACATGGCTGAATGACCCGACGCCCCCAAGCCCTGTGCAGCCGCCAAAAACACACCCAAGTACAGATAATTGCTGGTTGCTTAAAATCAACATGGCTTTGACCTTAGAGGTAAATGGGAGGGCTGAGCAGAAAGGAGAGGCTGCCATGGGAACGTGCTGTCGGGGCAAACCCTTGCAGAAGGGTCAGGCCGCATGCCCCCAAAGCGCCCCCTTGCAGGCCCTTGGCCCAATGACGCCGCCGCCTCCCTGCAAGCCCACTGACCCTTCCTTGAGATAGCTGTAGAGGATCTGCTTGGCTGCTTCCTCGTTGGTCTGCTGCGCCAGTTCCCGTTGGCCCTCCAGCAGATCGGGAGTCACCTGCAAGCATGACGCCAGCAAGCCGTCAGATGCAAGGGGGGGCCTCTTCCCCGGAGGGGCTGCTGCCCCCGTGCCTCAAAGAGGCTGCGCCCCAGATGCTTGGGTGCATCAGGAGCCTCGGCCGCATGTGGGGCAGCTCCTGGCATGCATGCACAGCCCTAATCCAAGTGCTCCGTGCCCGGATCCTCCACGGTACAGCCAGGGAGACCGAGCGGCACAGGTCCCCTGGATCACACGCTCACAGCCGACCGGGAGCTGGTGGCCTCAGCCCCAAGAGCAGGAAAAGGGAGCCTTACATCCCTCCGGTGGCTTGCTTGAGACTTTGCCTCGGGAAGTCAGATGCCCTGCAACCTTGGACCACGGGTCAGTCCTGCATGCCCCCCAAGGTGCCGCCAGCCCCACGCCGCTTCCCCACAGCCCAGACTGGCAAGCCAGTTGCCCAGCTGCCCAGCCTTGGATGGCAGAAACAAGAAGACGTGGCAGAAACCAACCTTCCTCCCCTCTGGAGGGCAGCGCCTTTTGCTGGCTAACACAAACATCGCACACACCCGGAAGTTACCTGAGCGTTCGAGGCAGAAGCCCGCGTTTTCACCGAAATGTTCTGAGTCACAACACGGTTTGGTAACAAGAGAGTGGAAGTCACTGTTCTGTTTTCCCCTTTTTTATTCTGGGTTGGAAGCGTGGAGGACCTGAGCACAAAACTCTCGCTGGTGGTCTTGCTTTGCTTGTGGTACTGCAAAGAATGGAAAGGGTTGCCTGGAGAGTCTCTCGCTCCTGCCATCACCCGGACTTTGCTCACGGTCCGAGGGGCAGCTGACCCCACAAGCGCAGCCGATGTCTGGTCCGGAGGGGATGGCTTCGGTGGGCAAACTCCGGAGGGCTGCGGCAAATGCTCGGATGACACCCCCAGGCTTTTGCTACCTTCATCTAAACAGTCGCCGTTCCCTGTAAGGCCGCTGGGTAAGGCACTGTCAACACTCCGGGAGCGCTTCCGATCTTCCGGATGAACCCTGCTCCGTATCGCCAGCCGGCCTCTCCTCTGTGGGCTGGCCCTTCTGCCAAACTTCTCTATGAGCTGCTCAACGGCCGGAATGGATCCGGTGTCGATATCGCGGCCGGTCCCAGGCAGGAAGGGGATGTACCTCCTGTTTTCGTGCCGGTTCACGTTGTCAGCATAGATGGCGTATTCCTGGTCATCGAGCAGGAATCGGTACAAGGAGGCGGCAGAGGTTGGCGCGGCCGAGGACGAAGAGCGCCAGGAGCCGCTCAGCACCGACCCGGCGGAGTCCTGCCTGCGGAAGGGAAGGAGGTCGGGCCGACACTTCCTGGCTTCCAGGCAGCCTGGGGGGCTCCCGGTGCAGGGGGACCCACTGCTGGAGGAGAGCGACTCAAGGGACCCGTGCAGCCCGTTTGGACTGCCAGTGGCACTGGGGTGTTCCAAACCCTCCCGGCCTGAATCTCCCGTCACGGCAGGCTTGGTCAAGTCCACGGTTTTGGGCTTTGGCTTGGACAGCTCTGCACACTGCAGGGTTGCTTTATTGGAGGCCGTGGCTTCCAGGGGGGAGACCTGGCTCTCGCTGTCTCCCCCCAGCTCATCTGCAAGGCACCTGTGCAGGCTGGGCGGGGCTGGGTGAAGGCCCGCCAGACCTGGGAGACTCTTTTCCGGGTCGTAGGGCTGCAGCAGCTCGGGGTGCCTCTGGAAGTTCAACAGGCCGGAGGACCCGGGCAGCCCGGAGCTGCAGAGGGAGGCGCTGTCCTCGCCCCGGTCCACTCTGCTCTGCTTCAGGCTTCTCCACACACTTGGGGGGGCACTGAAAGGATCCCAGAAAGGCCCGTCCTCGCCAGCCTTCTCCTCAGTCACAGAAGCAGGGCCAGAGCCCGTCGCTGGGCTACCAGGTGGCTCCGATGCAACCTCCTGGCCATTTTCTGGTGCCGGGGGGTTTCCGGACAAGCCCCCCTCGGTGTTGTTGAGCACAATGTAGGGGTGGCCATCGATCCCCTGGACCCGGATGCTGACTCCGTAGGACCCGGGCTTTGCCGCCGGCGTGCTCCTGGCCACATGGGCCTCCTCTCTCGCGAGGCGCTGCAGGGGCACCTCGGCATCCCGCTGCCACCGCCGCACACGCCTGAGACTGCCGAAGGAGGACTCCATCGCTCACATTGGCCCGAGCCCTGCAAAGAGGAGCAGGGAGAGAGTTGCTTGGGATTTCGACACCTGAGGGGCCGCCCAGCGCCCTCTGGGGCCTGTGGTAGAAAAGCCACAGAGCCCGCCACGCTGCGGGGACCTGGGCCCCAACTCCCTATGCTCACCCGAAGGCTCAGCGGGACCCCCCTGCCCCCCCCGCTTCTTTCCCCAGTGTCTGCATGGGAGCAGATACCTTGAATTGGCCCATCATCCTTCCCTCTGCCACCCAGCCGTGCCAGGGCCCACGGAAACAAGACCCCAAAGCATCAGGGTGGGACCAAGGCGTTTGAGTTCACACGGGGCAAAGATGGCAACCGAGTGGGTTCCCGATGGATTTCCTTACTGGGAAATGAGGGAACCCGCCCTTCAGGGTGCCTTGCCACCACGAGGCAGCTTGCAGTATCACAAAAAGCTGGACGTGCAGGTTGCAGGTAAGGGCAGGCTCATGTGGTGATGGATGATTTCGGAGACCCGGATGCAACCTGGAATTAATGCCCCATCAGGATGTCATTCTGTCCCCCCGCTGCCAGCCCACCTGCTGCAAACAGACGGAGCCCCACCCACCAGGTGAGCACCCCCTCTCTGAGCCGCACCCCCTTCCCCCTCGGCCCACACTCTGGGGCCCAGGGTTGACCCACGCCCGCTCCAGAATGTTTGGAAGCCCCTCAGCCTTGGCCTTCCTGCCCGAGCAGCCTTTGAGTCACCACCAGGCAGTTCAGCCCGAGCCCCCGATATGTTGAGGCCTGTGGAAGGGAAGCCAGAGAGAGAGAAAGGCACAGATGGGGGGATGCCAGTCTGGTCGCCGGAGCCAATGTCGCAGCACGCCTGAGCTCCAGCCCCAGCGGCAGGATGCGAGGGCCCCAGCGCCCTTCCCGAGCCGGGAAGGAGCCTGCTAAATCGACGAGGGTTTGGACCTGCCTAGTCATTATGTGCACCCAGCTTTTCAATCAGTGGTCACTTGCAGACACAAGCCCTGCCAATTAGTCTGGGCCATTAACCGTTCCAAATGATCCCTTCTCTCAAGCTGAAAGAGGGTCATTGGGAGATAACCATCTCTCTAGGGATGGCTGTTTTTAACTTTTACCTCCTTCCGCATGCCTTGATTTCAAGCCCCCCCCCCCCCCCCCAGTGTAAGCCAGGGTGAACATGCAGACCACTTCCGCCGGACTCGCTTGGTGAGGTCCCAGAGTTGCATTCCGGGAGGTGGAAACAGCCAGGCACCCCTCAGCAAGAAGCTTTTGCTGCCCACAACTCTCTCCTCATTTATTTATTCATTGCATGCTTACCCTGCGCAACAGCTGAAGCTCTCTGAAGCACACAACAACTGAAAACCTGAAATGCAGCATAAGATTCAGTTTCGAAAGTTAAAACTGCAGGAGAAAACCAAAAGAGGGACTGGCACTCCAGCAGCTTTGCCAAGATTTAAAGTGTCGCGCAAGAGGGAAAACGGACTGAAGCGAAAATAACCGAGTCTTGGGGGAGATGCTCCAGCCTTGCAGAAGTGGAACGGTGGGTGGCCACCAAGTGGCCGAGAGGCGGGAGGGGACAGTGGCAAGCCCGAGCAGTCCTCTCCAGCCGCCTGCCAGGCAGACTCAAGGCCTGTGGGCCACCTCACTCTTCTGGCAAGAAAGGGCCCCCTGACGGGGCCCGTGGCCCATCCTGCCTTCCTGGGATTCGGGAGACGTGCCTTTCCAACCGCACGCTGGCCGAGTTCTCGTGCTGTGTGAGAGCGTCCGGTTCAGAACTCAGTTCAGCACAACCCTGAGGAGCAACGGACGGCACTGAGGGCCCCCACCGGGAACAGGCATTTTGGGAGACGAGCGTTTGTGCAGGCAGGGCTCCAAGCTCAGCTGCAGCACTGGGGGGGGGGGGTACAGCGACTTGGCCCCCGTGAATCCCCAGGAGGGAAAAGCAGGTGGACAGACCATTGCAGGAAATGACATGTGCGTCTCCGGAGCTTCGGTGCTCAGCCCTCCCAGTCCGCCACGTGTGTCCGCACCGCTTTCAGCGCCCTTTGTTGATTCAGCACAATCGCAACGCACAGCAGTGGCCTGGCTTCCAGGTATTATGAGAGAGACAACCCAGAAACATCCTGTCTGCATCCTAAGCACAAATGGCCAGATCTGACGCCCTCGGAGATCGACAGCCCCTCTGCCGATGCGGACAGATCTGGGGGCAAGACTGCCAAAGGGAACAATGTATAATTTATACTGACTGCGGGGGGAGCGGGGGGTTCACCTGGCATGTGCTTTAGTGGCAGCCAGGAAGGCTCGGACCAAACGCTGTTGCAAGACTTCCTCGCTCCTGACCTCGGAGGGCTCTGCCAGGGACATCTGCGCAGAGGCGGGGGGGGGGGGGGGCAGCCACGTGTCCCTCTGAAGACAGCATGGCTTCCCTTTGAGTGGACAGGAGACAGTGTGCCGAGTCTGTCTTCTCCTTTTTTTAAGATGCCAAAGCTGCCTTTTGTGGCAGGACTGAAGAAAATACCCTGAACTCTGTCCACTGAGACCCTGCACGAAGGTTTGGTTTTTAGGCTGGCTGGTCTGTTTGTTCTTTAATACCGAACATGCAAGCTACACACAACACTCCCACCCCCACCATGCACAGATGCATACGTGTTGCCATTTCTACACAACACTCTTAACAGGATACACAGTGAGCGAGCGAGCTGGCACTCTGGGCCTACACTCTCCACCCGGGCCGCTGCATCCCTTTCCTTCAGCTGCCCTCCTGCTTTCACGTTCCCCTTTTCTTCAGCACCCTGCGCCTCCGCACTTTCGCCGTTACTCTGATTTGGACTGACGCCTGAGCAACACAGCCTGTTCCTTTGCACTGCGCCATCCTGCCGGTCACGCAGGGAAGACAAACAGCACTTGATGCACAGTCATCCACCTGGTCTTCTTCCAGTCAGATGTAACAGGCGCAGCCACTTTGTAGTGCCCATAAGAAGATAAGAGCTATCAGCAGTCGCTGGAGTCGATTCCATTTCTCCCTGGCTCACGTTCTTCCTTCCGAACCTAGGCCCAGAGGGAAGAGGCATTTCATGAGGACCCATTATGGTTCTAAGTGTCCTCCAAGACCAGTGAATTTTGGTCCGAATGTCCATTCCTAGTTTTAACGCAGCGGTTTCAGAAATGCAAACACAGCGATTCAGCTCTTGGGATGGCAAGTTCAGGGCACTCTGATGGTGCACCACATGTTTGAGGCCTCAGAGGCTGCATCTTTGCACTGGCTTTCGCAATTGAGCTTCTCTCTCCTCAGGTATTATTCTAACATTCCAGAAACCTGGCTTGTTTGCAAAGCAGAAAAATTATCACAGAGGAGTGGCCTGCCCCAAGTCAGCTGTTTACTTTTCATACATAAGTCGGAACAAATGGCTCTCTCTGCTGTCGGTCATGGGTCTGAACATCGCAGAGGCCGGTTATCCAGCTCCCAGGATCTTCTGGCACTAAAGACATTCAGCTGCAAATTAGGAGGTAAAAAAATACAAGAACACTTTTGATGTTTTCTGCCTGGCAGGGTAACACATCCGCTGCTTCATACATACTATACCGAGTTTGGCTGAGCAAAGCACTTTCACCGGCAGTGTGAGCTGGCCAGGGAATTAAGAGACTGGCTTGGCGGCAGCAGCTGGGAGCTCTGGATGCCTGCAAGCCCTCCAAGTCCCCGCAAGAGCCAACTTCGTAGGAGTGCTGAAGAACACATCCCGCAGCCATGTTGTGTCCGCTCATTACTGTACATGGAAGCATCGCTGGGAAACTGAGTAGCTGGGGAGCGAAAACAAAAGGACAGTCATCTCATTCTCTTCCTCTCCAGCCCGGGGAGCGAATGGCCATCCCAATTTGGCAGTTGGTGGCCTGCAGCCAGTGGGAGAGGGCAGCAGAAGGGCAGCCTGGGCCGGTTTTGCAGCCTGAATGTAAAGAGGGGCAAGCAGAGAGCGGAAAGCTTGGCTGGAGTTAGCGAGGGACCCCAGGGATCCAAGGCAAAACCATCCGTCTTGCAACCTCTATTTTCAGGCCGGCTCTCTTGCAAAGGCATTGCCGGAATGATTGCAACTCTAACAGAGACACTGTCCGTTTCCGGCACCAGAGAAAGTGGGCATCTTTTGTACAGCCATCAAATTGCTTGGCTGAGGAAGGAGGGAGCACTGAAGAGGACATGTGGGCAGATGCTGCAAGATCTGCTCAGGCCAAGGGAGCGGCCGCACTTGGGTCCCTCAAGCCGCTGTTCCCTCAGAGCCACTGCAAGGGAAGCGCGGACAAGTCGCACTCCAAGCCGGGCATCTTTCTCCTGTCCATTTTTCCTTCTCTAATCCGCTTGGCTCCAAAGAGTACCAAATCCCAGCAAGGTACACAGAGCTGCATCCTGTGCATAGCAAGCCCTGGGCCCAGCAGCTGGGCTTACACTCGAGGAAGCCCCCGGGAATGAAGCTGGGCACGCTCTGCGTGACTGACAGGCAGACTGCAAGGGGGGTCGACGGCATGCCAAGCAGGCACGGATGAAGCGGGGCCATTGCGTGTGGGTGCAGAGCTGGAAGCACGAAGCCGAGGCTGGGCAAAGGAGGCTTTTCCACAAGGGTGGCCACAACCAGGAAACTCCTGGCCACATGTGGCTGTTCTGCGCCGTCCAGTTGTCTCTGACCTATGGCAAGCCTGGGCGTGAACCTCCAAGACGGCTACGTGCGACAGCCCTGCTCAGCTCTTGCACGTTCGAGGCAGCAGCTTCCTCCATGGAGTCCCTCCGTCTTGTTTGGTCTTCCTTTCCTTCTTTCCCCAGCATGGCTGCCTTGTCGGGAGGCGTCCAGTCAGCTTTCCTCCAGCTTTTTTTCTTCCATGCCCGTACATAGCGAGCCAACTATCCTGTGCAACTGGAAAATTCTGCTCCGAGGGCAAGCAATCGGAAATGAGCTGAAGGCCTTGAGAGCCGAGGCAGAAGTGGCACCATCCGCGGCGGTGGAACGAAGCAAGTGGCCGGTGGCAGCTCTTTGATGGAGCGCAAGCACTGCTGCCTGCAGCGAGCGAGCACTCAGACGGGGGCCGGGGCCCCCTTCAGACGTCCGGGCCTGCCGCTTCCTGCGGCCTCAGCCCTGCCCGCAGCAGAAGCCGAGGCAGAGACACCCTCATGCCAAAGGCCCTTTATATTCCAGACAATGCTCCTTTCCAGCCTGGGTCTGCGGAAGTGCAGAGCTGCCACCTTCCTGCACGGCGAGCGCAGAGGCAGGCCATTCCTCCCACGCGCCGTCACGGCAGCCGTTCCACACCCCGGCTGTCTGGCCAGACCAGTTCCTCGCTGCCACCTCCCTGTTCCTCTGCCCCGTGGCCCTGCGCCAGCACCGCGCTTTCTTCCGCAGGGCTTTCAAAGCAAGGGCCTCACAATGAACTCGTTTAGCCCTCCTTTTTAAAAAGGGGACACCTCCGAACACGTGGCCTTGGTGGGCAACCTCAGAGGGGAACTCGAGAGCGAGAGGCCTGCGGGAGGCCTGGCTGAGGAGCTGCCGCTCTCGTGGCTGTGAGCTCCTCTCCTGCAGGCTGACGAGGCAGGGTCGTCCGAAGCTGGCCCCCAGGAACCGGCCGCGGCTGGCCCTGCTCCGCTCGTCCTGCAAGCCCCTTCCCGGAGACCGCCCCCGGCCCGTTCAGACAGCCGCCTCGTGAGGACCCAAACGCCCTGCAAGCCTTCGCCAGCCTGCTCCCCCTCTGCCTCTCCCGCCACGGCACCACGCCATCACCCCGGATGTCTGCATGGCACACAGCCGCGTGCTCTCCAAACACGGCTGCCAGGCATGGGGCAAGCCAAGTTCTTAAACCAATAAACTGTGGATTAGGGTCGTACCCTTGCTTCCCGGTCTGGAGGGAGCAGGAAGCTCTGGCTGCCGGATGGGCACAGGGCGAGGACAAGGGGTACACGCAGCTCAGCTCGCCGGGCCCGAGGCTGAGCCCCCTGGCATGGCCAGCCCGTGTGTTTCAGGAGATTGCGGCGCAGCAGCACAATTCGTACACCGAGGGCTCTGGGAGGAAAATGAGGCCCCGATCTCCTCTGCAGAGGCAGAACCAAAGCCAAGCGACACCCCCCCCCAACGGTTGCCATGCTGGCAGATGGGAGCTGCGGCCAGCGCCGCCTGGGAGAGCACAGGCTCGCCCCACCACCAGCCCCCTCTCCAGGATGCCCTCCTGGTTTGCCACTCCCCCCACCCACCCAGGCCTGGCGCCTCCGGAGTGGCACCATTTGGCCGGCACGGCCCCCGCATTCTTGGCCCGGTGAGATCCCACCTGCGGGCGAGCCGGCCCGAGATATGCAGCTGACTGAGAAGAGAGGCGAATGGGCAGCGGGAGGGGGGTGATCCCAGGCACCTGCCTTCCCTGTTCCTCTTCAGTACTGCTTTTGCCCAGGAGCCCTGGCTGCCAAGCAGGCCGTGAGGCAGAATGTGCCCACTGAACGCACTTTCCTCAGGTCTCTCCCCAAACTAAAGCACATTCCAGGGAAGAGCGGTGAAGGCATGGCAGAACTGCAAGAGACGGGGGCCTGGCAGTTCGTAACGGGGTTTGTGCTTCCAACACAATAGCTGGCCTGCGTCCAAGTCCCCGGCGAGGGCCAGCCCTTTCTCCAGGGGAGGTGCTGGGCCGCTTTACTAAGTCTTCCACCAGCCAAGGCTCCGGAAGGCACTCCTGCTCCTCCTGGAGGGTCCTAACGCGGCCCCAGCGGGTGATCTTCCCACTGGCAGGCTTCCTCCCGAAGGCCCCTGCCTGCAACGAGGCTGCTGTGGCTTGGCCCTCCTTCCGAGGCCCGCTGTCCGGCGTGCCCGAGACGGGCTCCGGGAGAGGCTGCCAGGTGCCTGGGGCCAGTCCATGCTCCGTGGATGATGGGGCGGGGGGCAGCTGCCTTCCCCAGCCACCCCGCCGGGTGGGATCCTGCCTCTCTTTGCTGGCAGTGTGTGGGAAGAAGCCGCCCCCGCCCCACGAAGGCCGAGCGGCTTGGCCCTGGCCAGGCACTCCGCGTGGGGCCAGGATTCGGTTCGCAGGGCGGGCGGGCAGGGTAGCCAGGCATCCTGGGCGGGGAGGGTGCCCGCGGGAAGGCTTGCCCATGCCGTGGCCTCATTTGCACACCACACACGTGTGCGCGCACGCCACGATCCCAGCCCAGCCCAGCCCAATTAGGAGCGCCTGGCTATTCTTTTTCTGGGTCAGTTTTGTCTTCGGCAGCTCCTGCCCCTGCCTGGCTCCAGCGTTAGGAAGGCCTGGCTTCCTTAATTATCATTCCTTTCTCTGGGAAACCGGCCTCCCCACCAAGGGCTCCCTTTTAACTCCTTCTGATTTGCCGCAGGAGACGGGACTGTGCAGCCCAGCCCGTCCAGCGCAGCGCAGGGGGCCCCAGCGGAGCCCAGCAGCACCCAGGGGCTTCCCGCAGAGCCAGGGGCGCAGGCCCCGAGGGAAGCGCCCACTGGGGGACTCAGCGTGTCCCCTCTCCCACGGCCTGCGCTGCCTTCTCCCCACTGGACCCACACCAGGTGGGGAGCTGCCCTCTGGGCATCCCAGCAGTGCCACAGGGGACTCCCGCAGAGGCCCTCCGCCCTCGGAGTCAGGGAGGGAAGGGCTCTCCCAAGCTCCCCCGCAGTGCTGGGGGCTGGACCCCTCGCTTTGCAGCAAGCTGCTCTGGGGGGGAACAAATGGGGGCACCGGCTTGCTGGCACGGATCGGCACGGCTGCCCGCACGCCTGCACTTGCCTTGGGCACGAGCTAGTGCCAAGCAGCCACGCTTCTGGGCTTGCCACAATGCTCCCTACGAGTGGGGAGGGCGTGGTCTTCCCCGGGGGCCTGAATCCGAAGCGGCCTCTGCAGGCTGCCCTCGAGCCCCACGCCTCCCCCCCGTCTTCTGCACTCGTGCCGCCCTCCGGGGAGGGCTCCCCCCGCATTCTGGTGCGGCGCCACCCACACCTCCATCCCACGGAGCAGGAAGCGGCGGGAGACAGTGGTGGGTTCCCAAGGAGGGTGAGGCACCTGGCTAGACCTGCCCCCCCCAGCCTATGAAGTGGTGGAGCGGGGGGGGGCGGCAGGGGCAGAGCCTTGCCTGGGAGCACCCCCAGCAGTTTCCTTTCCATTCCTTCACAGTCCGGGTCCTGAAGGGGCCCTCCAACGCGGGCAGCCTCCATCATGTGCCCACTCGTTCGCATCCCCTCGTTCTTCGTCCGCTCCAGCCGCTCTCCAGCTCACTCCGCACTTCTCTCTGCAGTGCCCCTTTCTCAGTGCCGCTGGCTTTCTTCGCGCCGCCTGGGTCTGCACAGAGGGTGATGCCACACGGCTCAACACGGTCCACCCGCAGAGACGAAGGGGCTTGTCCGGCCAGCAGGCCTCGCCCCTGGCCAAATACTGGCCGACCAGGGTCTGCTCTCGCCCCTTCATCTGTTCCGTGCTGCTCTGGAGCCATTCCTGTCTTGTGCCTTCTCTGCGCATGCACCTGCCCACCCGCAGCAATGGGCTTTCTCCACCTCTGCTGCTGTAATCGCTTTTTTTGAGGCTCCGAGCAGCCACTTTGCAGTCTTTAACTTATCTAGTGACTTCACGTCTAAATCTGCCATTACCCCCAGCTGCCCAATAAAATGCAGCCACTTTCTATCTTTTCCTATTTATCATACATGTCGAAACTTGCTCCATCTGAGGAACTCTGTCAGCTGTGAGCACACTGTGCCCCGTATTGCTGACTTCTGAAGTCCTCTGAGCTCTATCCCTGCTTCCTGCCACAGGGCAGCGCCTGCCTCCAGGCTGCATACATGACCTCCCCCACTCCTAGCCTTCTCCCTGTACCCAGACGGCAATGCCCAGGGCCAACAGGATCCTCCCCCGACTGCTCCCCCCACCGCTTCACTGCAGATGCCCTTTGCTAGTCTGCCTGAAGCACGGTTTAATCATTTTATAGCTCTTACTCTCATCTGCCTTTGCAGGGAGAGGTCCTAGTCCTAAATTCGGGGCGGGGGGGGGGGGAGCAGCGATCACTCACACAGGTGAGATTCCACAGGCTTAAAACATGAAGGAGACACTCACTCACCCCCCCGGGAAGTTAGTGACACACAAAACACACAAGCGTCTGCATG